TCTGGGCTAGAATTGATCTTCAGTAACCCATGCCTGCCGTAAGAGGCGACTAACAGGATCGGGTGGTCAGGCTCGCTTGACTTGGTTGACACATGTCATCGGTTCCCAATTGCGCAGATCGATGCTCATGCTGTTGATCACTGGATTGCCTGGTCCAGACTCGATTATTTACAGACTGCCGCCATATAGCTGGAATATTGCTGAGTGCGGCGTAACACTAAGAGAGCCTATTTAGATCCCCATCCATTCTTGTTATCCCTTGCTATTCTCAGAGTGCTGAACACGATGGCTCACCGTGATTGACATGTCGATATATTTAACCTGACAACTAAATATTTACGAACCTGAGGACACAGACCGACCCTGCCCCGAGTGCTTCCTTGTAGATACAGGATAAATGTCAACCACATTATTACATATAATAACTCCTATTTTGCTTTTATCATCGGTATTATTTTCCTATCATATTTCGCAACATCTCGTTACACAAGCTCCCAGTTGATGCAATAGACTTCGTGGCCACCAGTTAGTTCCACTGGGGCGCTTGGCTGGATTGCGTCACCGGTGGCGTTTTGACATTACTGAATTTGCGCACTGTTATGGTGGCATGTAACGAGTGTATTTCCAATAAACAAAAATATCGTATTATTTGCCATACACCGACTCGACAGCAGTTCTTCTGTGACACGGTTATGCCATTTACCATTCAATGTGTATATGTCAGAAATAGGTCCCTGTAAATATACCAGTGTCACTATGCACTTTTTCAAAGGATGAATTATTTCCCCGACATTTAAAACAATCGAGTAATAAATAAACATCATGCATAACTTATGAATATAATACAGATAAATATATGAATACTGATGGATATTTTATGAAGGCGTTTAAGTGTTTCGTAGAGCTAAATAATTTCAGTGGCGTCTTTAAGTGAAATTCAAATGGTACAGGGAATTTGTTTTCAAACACTTATAACAATTGTCAAAATCAGACAAAACAAGAAGACCCATTAACTTTGTTTAACAGAGATATCACAAAGACGGATATCTTGTCTATTTATATCAGTATGATCTAATACAGAATGCAACAAGTAACAATATCGTACATAGCATTTCAAGATTATTTGTAACACACGATTATATTTCCTTTTCTTTATCTAACATTTTCTAAGGATGTTTTTTTGTGCTACGGAAAAGTTAGCCACAGAATCTACCACTTTTTGTTAAATTGACAAATTGTGCTGAACGAAAGACGATATTGCCGTCGTTCAAGATGGTGTTGATTTCACACTGGAGTTCAATTTGAAGATCCCTCTGTAAATAAACATAAACTGTTAATGCTACCATGGAAACAAGTAAACCTCATCCCCCCTCTCTCTCTCAATCTCTCTCTCTCTTTCCCACTGTAAATACCACTTTCTGATAAATTGTGCTGGACGGAAGACGATGTTTATGTCGTTCATGATGGTGTTGATTGCACACTTAAAATTCAATTCAAACTTCCCCCTGTAAATAAGAATACAGTGTAGATGTTACTATGGAAACAAATAAACCTCAATCCCCCCCCCCCTCTCTCTCTCTCTCTCTCTCCCACACACACTTTCTCTCTTGTATATTTTTATTAAATATACATTATTTTTGTCTTTGATATATATAGGAGATCGACTTGAATTTCACAATGGAAATCTCTATGTATGTATGTATGTATGTATGTATGTATGTATGTATGTATGTATGTATGTATGTATGTATGTATGTATGTATGTATGTATGTATGTATGTATGTATGTATGTATGTATGTATGTGTGTGTGTGTGTATGTATGAATGTGTGTGTGTATGTATGAATGAATGTGTGTGTATGTATGTATGTATAAATGAATGTGTGTATGTATGTATGTATGTATGTATGTATGTATGTACGTATGTATGTGTGTGTGTATGTACGTATGTATAAGTATGTATAAATGAATGTGTGTGTGTATGTATGTATGTATGTATGTATGTATGTATGTATGTATGTATGTATGTATGTATGTATGTATGTATGTATGTATGTATGTATGTATGTATTGTATGTGTGTGTGTATGTATGTATGTATGTTATATACGTGTGTATATTTTTTAATCGATTATTTAAGGTGTCAAATATTTTATGAAATATATTTTTGTTTGACATATAGGAGATCAAGTTAACACAGATCACAACACCTGTGACCGCGGGTGGGAGAAGTTAATGACAACAGACGGTGACGTCCACCCAGGTGTCTCTGGGCTCATGGCGAGCTCGCATCCAGTGGTATCCGGAACTAGCTGGACACACACATCCTTTGTTACGAAACATCGCTGGGTGCATGACATAACTTTCTCGATAACGCCCAAAACAGATTACTTTTTTATAACTCTTACGCAAAATGTCGTATCTTACTAATCGTTGTACACTTGAAATGAGAGTGTTGAACAAACTGACTCTCTCTCCCCTCTGAGTTCCATCATTAAACAGGGTCATACGAGCTACATCTGTACAAACTTGTAAAATACATGTATTTACATGAAAGAATAATCCTCAGTTTTATCACCACTCTGCCTTTTCTGACAGACAGCTGACAAGAACCATAATCACTCGACCTGCCATTCTATCATCTAGAGTATTGTGATTAATTAATTTTCGTAAAAAGTAATATATTCACCATACGGTTATTATTGTTAAATGTTGAATAGTGAATAATCTGGTTTTATTAAAATTCTATTCTCAAAATGAAAATGAAAAATGAATTCTGAGATGGTTTATAAAATTGTTTAACTTTTGTCGATAACATATACTCATGCCAATAATGGTTGTCACCCCCTTCAATGTTTTTAATTAGAGGGGGGGGCAACCATTATTGGCATGAGCATATATTCCACTCAAGCCACAGGGTTGGCCATTGTTTGAGATTATTTCAGGCTGATATTAGGTCAAATATTAAGGCATGATATTCAGTTGAAAAAAACAACTGTGAGAATATAAAATGTAAGGTTATAATCTGACTCAGTGTCAGTCGTTAAGATCAAATTTCTTGAGGTGTTGAAATGAATGGGTGTTATTTCACCAGATTGGCGTATCATGATTCAGCTGGTCATGCCCACAAAGATATGACTCATGACAACCGATATGATTTCATTTGTTCGATTTGATGTCCCTCCATGTAATATTTTCACTTTAATCGTACTTCCCGTGTTTTTGATACACACTTTACGTTGAACTCTCTGGAAAAACACCGTAATATTCACAAAATAAGATATATTCGCAACAAATATATAGAGGCAGAAAAACTAATATAGTGGATTGGTTTTTTTAACGACTAACTTTACAAACCGTATATTATCATTTGTAGACATGGAAAATTGATTTCTAATGAATTTCTTTTATATTACAGAAGAATTTTTATGTTCATCTCGTCGATATTCGATTACATGTAATCGTAACAGTTGATTTTAGAATTTGCCTGCGTTGGAGAATATTTTTAGTATGAATGTATATGATAATGTAAAATTGTATATAGAATGTATATAATAATGTCAATGATATACTTAGAATTTACAAAGCTATTTACTAATTTAGCATTTACTCATCGCTAATGTTAGCTAGCTGACTGTCATCCGATTGCAAGAGATAACGAAACTTGGGGGAAGGGAGATAACTCTTGAGGGCCTGGTGTACACAGATTTCCCCCGTTTTCCATGAAAGCAATACTCTGTATATTGTTCATGGGATTATTTTAAAAATGTACGTCAATTCTCAGATGTGTATGATTTTGTGTGTATTTATAATATGACTATTGTTTTGCACAATTTACTGTTTTGAGAGTTAGTACATACGCATACATATAAATGCATATTTCGGAGATTTCACCCGTTTTCCATGAAAGCAATACTCGGTATTTTTGTTCGTGGGATTATTTTAAAATATACGTCAGTTCTCAGATGTGTAGGAATCTGTGTGTATTTATGATATGACTATTGTTTTGCACAATTTACTGTTTTGAGAGTTAGTACATACGCACACATACACATAAATGCATATTTCGACCTGAATCTACTTTTTTCAATAATCATAAATGTAAAATTAATTATCCTTAAACCGTAACTAATTTACGTTGTAATGCATCAAAAGGAGGTGGGTGGGGGTGGGAGGTGCTCAATGGTTTTGACTGTAAATATGTATTATGGTAAAAAACTACATGTATATTTAAAACGATGATGCGCTATTTACAGATCCATTGTGACTAATATCACATTTCATTGCGTTGTACATGCATCACTGCATACATAATGTTCGCATAATTTATGCATGGGTGTTCTAATATCAGCTTCAGATGTGTTTTAATATAGACAGTGTCGATGTGAAATCTGGTATGCCTGATTTTAGGTAAGGTATCCGATACATATCTCAAACGAAGCAAAACTTGTGCAATAGACTGTAAAAATAGTATTTGCGTATATCGCATTGCTAATTGGGTTATTACAGATGCGGATTCAAGCAGATATGAACAAGCTGTAACCTGTCCTTAGGTCGGTTAGCGTATCGGGCCGACATCTAATAATCACGTGCCACTCCTGTCGAAACATCGTACTACTCGGGATTTCATTGTATAATCAAATGCATGATTAAAAGCCGGTATTTCATCTCACGTTGGATGGTGGGACAGATGGTGTATGTTTAACACATCCCTGTGTTAACCATGTGATTTCAACGTAAGTAACGTGAAAATGACTCAATGGGCTGTCTGTATTACAAGGCGATTGCTACTATGACAACTATGATGTTTGCCTTTATTTGGCGGGTCACTTCTATTTTTAGTTTTCCGGGTCACGCTGGTTATGATGAGCGTATCTATTCCTAAACAGGATTGGCCAGCCGATCATGACGTCAGGGACCGACATCATCCTTCTCGCTTTCTGATTGGCTGGGATTTGTGGGCTTGACGTCATGCCTTTCAAAACAGGATATCACATTGTCGAACGGGCATTATTGGACCAAGCTTTGACGAGGAGAGTACTAGTGGAAACTTGCTCCGGTATTTTACACATCAAGTGGAGTACACGCTACGTTCTGAAGACGAGCTTTATTTATTCGGCTCAGGAGGCCTAGTTTTCTTCCTTGCTCAGCTAATTTCTTGTTACAATGGCTGCTATCGCTGCAGAACCCCAAAGACTGATTGCTGTGTCACTCGGCAAAATCGCCGCTTCACGGTCACAACGTGGTGGGATTAACTTACACAAGAACTTGTTAGTAGCCAGTGTGTTGCACAAGGCACGGACAGCTTACATGATGGAGAACTTTCAACAGATGCTTGCTGCAAAGAGAGCACAGGCTGAACAGATTCATATACAGAACCCAGTACCCGAGAAAACAGGCGCCAACCCGCACGAGACTACATGCCACGAGGCGCACGTATCTAGGTCACAGAGTAACTCAACCTCACCCAGACTCCGTGATTCATCGGATAAGGAAAATACCCCGCCCAGGGGAGAGTCGTCTGCTCCGTGTGAAAAGATGGAAACGCAAGAAAAAACACTCTCTCCTATGTCGGACTCTTCTCGTAATACTCCTGACTCGTCAGGAAGTGTGAACCAAGGCAGACTTGATTGCGTAAGCAGAACGAGAGACAGCAGTTCGTGTCTGTTGAAACGTCGGCGAAGCAATGCTTCACAGGATATGGACACGGTGCTCGCCAAGAAGGCCAAATATTCAGACAATGTGGAGAGTGATTCTCACTGTGAAGCCATGCAAACAGAGCCTACTCAAATCACCAATCTAGTCAGTATTTTCAACACAGGGTTTGGCGGTTTGTGTTCGGCTGGTAATGCGGACCTTCAATTAGGGTTTTCAAGATCGGATTCCTTACATTGTAGTGCACAGGTTGAAAAACAAGTTGGACTTCCTACTGTGATAGCATTGACTGTGTAAATGTGACGTAAATTGGCCTGACCGAAGTCAGACTCTGACTGATATAGACAATACTCAACACGCCTTGTGGGCGTGTAATCGTGATCTCAAGACATGTCTCTGATTGTGATGGACAACAAGGAGATGAAATCGACAAGAAAGCGGGAGTGAGATATTCTGTGTACATGTAATGGTCGTGAGTGTACAATGGGAGAGAATTAACATTAGCGTGAATGCAGCTTTCACATCGGTCATTCATATATTTACCAAAGACAATCAACATGCATTTCACGAGAATGGATTTCAGCAAGACTTTGTTCCAGGGGGACAATGGGCTGTTAATTTGCCGACAACATCACCTCTTTGTCCCGCGGGCTTTTGTTCGTGGGAAATCGCTGCCTCATGCCGTGGGCTATTTTTAGACTGGGCGTCCCCCCCATAAAATATCGGGCGTCTTTGTGTGTATGGACAAAAGGGTTGGATACGCGTCGGTTGTCCAGGCAACGTGTCAAAACCCGAACAGTTTCTGATGTGTCATTTCCCATCTTTCATGTCCATTGTCGAGCGAATGCGTATCATGTGTGTTGGGTCCGAAAGGACTCGATTATTTATCATGTTTATCAAGAATAAACACTAATTATTTTCTGAAACAAATCTACTGTCTCAGTTCTCATTGTGGAGTTTTGCTTGGCTGGCTCCAAAACCAAGATCACATGTGTTATCAATGAAGGAGAACGACTTGCTTGACTGGCCAATATATATTGGCTTACAAGCGTTGCCCATTCGGATCGTCACCTAAATATATTTGGGTAATTTCCTTTTTATCGAATCTTGGATAACACCGTGACGTGTTATCAGTATCGAAATGGTTTCCTTCAGTGATAAGTCATGTGATCTTGTCGATTTCACAAGGATTACACAAGCACGTCGGATGTATTTTGATGAGTTGCAGAGTCACGCCAATGGATATGAACCTTGGTTCATTCTGGTTCAGCTCCTTGGTATACGATGCATCCAGCATGTACTGTTACAGTGCGAATATTGACACGCATTTACAATTCACGACACAATCTGCTGCAAGCAATGTCGGGGTGAACCGGAGTTGCTTACTGAAAAAAAACCTCGCTAGAAGCCTTGTCGACCGACAATATGTGAATTGCGTAGACAGTACTTACACAGTTAGTTTTGTTCGAGACCCCAGTATCTCAAGTTTTATCAATAACAGATAAATATTTGATAGACTCTAAATCTGAACGTGTAACACATCCCGGTTACAAAGGACATTTATGGGGAAATGTTTACAGATACTTTATACAGAGATATTATAATAGCTTGGGCTGATCGATGATTATTGAGCCATCTGGAGTGTTAGAAAACAGGTCAGACTGATTGATTGGAAGCCGTATATTGTATCAGCATATTGTAAGGAATATCAGATATGTTTCGGGTACTGATGGAGGGACAGGAACTTGAGAAGAGGTGTAGTTAATGATAATAAATATTCAGTAGTAATCGGTTTACCGTTAGAAGATAATGTTTGCTGGATTACTGACAATCATATGATGCAATC